TCCATTGATTCTGAACATTACATAAACGCATTTTTCTGGTCATTCGAGAGTGTCTCAAACATTCCGGCTAATAACAGTAAGAACGATATATTATTATATATTCAAATGAACTATCGTCAAGATTTGACAGAATAGTTCTAAAATATTTGGGCGCCTAGTGAGAAGTAGACATTACAAAAAATTATATTTGTAAAATCTCAGCGAGATTGAAATGAGTAATTCCAACGTTTCATTCGACATTCTGGTCCGAACTTCTTCAGGGAAATTAATCTAAATTAACATAACAGAGTATTTAATTGGTGGATGGTGACTAGCAGTGGAATCCAGGATGCGCATTTCGTCCTGTTTGGGACTCGTCATCTGGATGTACCTGCATTTCTCAGTGAGTGATGATGTTCCCACCGAGGCTCGAACCCATTGACCTTGGTTTCAAACGCCAAAGCGTTATCCACTAGACCACTTGGGCCACGAAAGCCACCAATTAAATACTAATTAAATGCCCAGACATCGTCGAAGCATCTGCTCAAGAAGCCGACATGTCAACCTGAGACCGAGCACTTCGGTCCAATCAATCGACAGGAAAATCCAAAATTCAATTATAACATAACAGAGGTTTAGATATAAAAGGAACACCACTTGTTTTTAAAAACTTTGTCCAATCATGAGTCATTCAACAAGTATCCTAAATTCGTAGCTGTCGATTCAGACTGACAACTCCAGTAGGTCGAATAAAGCAGCTCAATCCTCAGAAAGAAGAAAAAGCAATAAGTCTGACAGAGTGCTTCTAATAAACTCTAATCCTAAACACCATAATTTTGAAAATACGTCTAAACATAAAATTCTAGATACTAACAGTTTGAACAGACATGAAGGCGTGATGTTAGCTGATGCATAGGAAATCCTTATTAATAAATAAGAAATGGATATGTATCACTAATTAATCAATAATACTTGGTCAAATTCCTGACTGTCTATATCTTCCTATGGAGACGTTAAGAAATGTTTTACAACTGTTTACTCACACACTCATACACACTGTTTAAAGTGTTTAACAAACGTAGACCAATATTTGTAAGTCCGAGGTCAAATTTTGAACACAGCTCATACAATTTTGTTTATTATATTTGTTAATACTTGTTTAATGAATCATGATTGGACAAAGTTTTTAAAAACAAAAGATGTGCCTTTTATATATAAAACCTCTGTTATGCTAATTTCGATTAATTTCCCTGAAGAAGTTCGGACCAGATTGCCGAACGAAACGTTGGATTTACTCATTTCAATCTCGATGAGATTTCACAAATATAATTTTTTACAAATATTATATATATACATATATTATATCACGATTATTTGCTTGACGTGTTCAGCAGAACACATGGATTTCGCTAGCTGCCATTTTCCCTTCACATGGTATCCTGCATCTCACAATCAGGCGACCAACTCGTCGCTTCCCAGTGGGTGTTCCACTTCACCGACTGACATGTGATGCCATCCAGCAGTCTCCTCAGTTTATATCCAATCCATCTCCATTCCTTTCTACATTTTATTGCTGAATACGTTTTCTGTTGGCAGTCTGATCTTCAGTATCAAACATGCGAATGTATCTATTGATAATGGTCCGCAGTCTGTCAGAAATGCTTCTTGTGATGAGTCAAGTCTCTGAACCATATAGAAGATTTGAGATTTGGTGCCGAAAATTCGGCTGTTGTTCCTTCTACTAACAGAGATTAACTTCTGTCTTGCTTTTATGAGCCAGTCCCGACTGTCTTTTACATCTTCATTCATACTACTTAACCTACAGTTGGAACGATGCCATCCATGAAAGTGAAAGAGAAGACTTCATTTGGATTCCTGTTGTTGTTGTTGTTTTTAATTAGGTATCATAATCCGTTTTATCTCTCCTCAGTTCACCTGAAGTTCTGTCTTTGCTGCTTCACCTCCTGACCTGTTCGTGGTTTTCGTTTGTAAAGCTTCTAGCTTGTATGAAATGCCGTATAAATCATCAATTAAATGTAAATATCGTTGATTCAGCTGATGCCGGTCTTCTCTCTTTAGCCAGGCCCTGTCGCAAAATGTATTCCACCACAGTCAGGAATATCATCAGCGACAGTGGGCAACCTCGTCTTACTGCTGTCTTTATTTTGAAGGATTCAGTGAATTTTTTCTTATGAACGACTTGCTTTGTGGATTCATTTTTATAGAGCTGCTGAATGAGGATCGTAAATGTTTGCTGCGCTGAACTAAGCAGTGTTAAAGCAGTTTCCACGTTACTTCACTGTTTTCCGATGTCAATAAATTTAAGAGACAAGAAGTTGAATACATTTCTTTCCCGTAGTAAATTTCATACAAGCAACAACTGTGAAACAAAGCAGTTTCTAACGAATTTATAAATTTTGGTAAAAGGAGTCGTCAGCTGAATACTCCTCTACAAATCTTGTCGTTTGATCCCGTACGGTTTAAATATAAGTTAAATTTATTTGTGTTGTTTTACGAAGTTTCTTTGCATCTCAATGTTAGAAAAAACTGAGCAAACATATTTTTTGATAATTTCCTCTTCCAGCTTTACAACTATTATTATTATTATTATTATCAGGTATTGGTTTTGTAGGGATTTTGTTTGATTGGATGGAGGATTTCATCTCATGAGCTGACATCAGTTAGAGAACCACTGGAAAACCAACTGGGAGTAATGGACAGCTGTTTCGTCCTGGTTTGTGACTGTTCATCAGTACGCACCTACCGGGGTTCGAGCCCAGGACCTTCTGGTTACAAAGTGAGCTCATAGACCATTGAGCCACTGGGACCCGATCCAATGGCTCACGAATTCCAACTTCTGCCGATTCAAGACATAGCGTGGCCACTTTGCAATGTCTTCTTCGATGAGTTACAGTCTCATCTTCAACCTTCTGTACGCTACTGGTCACGGCTTCCCACTAGAACCCCAGGTCACTGCCTTAATAGGGCCAGTTGCTATTATTATTATTGTTTCCTTCAGCTCCTAGAGGAACATATGGCTTCAGCCTCCCGTGTCCACTGTGTTCGTTTCTCTCCCAACATTTTCAATTAACTCCACGTCCGCCCACGTGCTTTCATCTCTTCTTCCCACCAAGCTGGACTGTGTTCCAGAATACGTTTGTGGACTTGACGTTGCGTATGGCCCGTATACTTTGCTCCACACGATGAAGTAAATTGATAAATACACATTGAAGTGGCCAAAAGCGCTATCTTATCCTTAACGTTAGACTGGATTAACTGTTTGATGGAGAATGTGGAACCCTGTGCAGCTTGGTTAGCCAGCCAAAGGAGAAAAGAAGAATAGCAGCAAATCCATCCTTGAACACCTTGTCATCTCCGGACATCGAGCATCCCCCCATGAATGTAAACACAGTGCTACACAGAGTCCCTCAATATCGTGCAAAAAGACTTCGTATACGACATCTGTACATAGCTGAAGCATTAGCTATTCGAGATCTGAAACCGGACCACTGCATCCAAAAGCGATACATACATTCTCTCGCCCTACCGTGGCCAGAGTAAAGTTCTTACTACAATTTTGCTTCTTTCTTTTATTATGTAAGTTCACTATTATTATTATTATTAATACTATTATTTTATTATCATTATTATTCCCATCATCCACATTTTATTACCACTCTATTACTGTTTATGAATAACATTGCTTTTTCATACAGGTTTAATATAAAAAACACTATCACCTTTCCACTAGTTCCTGCCCATTCTACACGAGCTTATTGATTAGTCATTATCTCACACTTATTACATCAGGCCAACTTCTGCCTATTTTCTAACTCACATTTAGTCATCCCTTCTCCGTTACACCTTACATTATGTAATACAATTTTTCAAGGACAAAAATTACCCAGTATCTGATTGGTCTGAAGATTTCTTTATTTGATATAATTGTACGATTGTACAGCTGGTGAAAATGAATCGTCAAAAAGTGAAAATTTTCTTTTTCGATGTTTACACCTTTTTCTCTAATGACTCAATATGGGAAGATTTCGTTCACAGAAATATATAGATATAAAAATCAATCAACAACAATGATACAAAACACAAAATAATGGGGCAAAGAATATCCCTTTCGATAAATTCCTCCTCCTCTGGCTCTACAATTATATATATGTATATATATGTTTATATACATAGAATATTTTAGAATAGTAGTCAATAACAATATCAGTGTTTTTTTAAATAATTTCGATTTGTAAAGTAAGATCACAATGGAATTACAGTTCATTAAAGATGCTTAAATTATAATAATAATAAAGATATAATAGCAAATAGAATATCAACTAAAGTTGGGAAAATTCCACAAAATTCAGGATCATTCAAACCTGGATGGCCAAGAGGGTAAAGATAATGTCTGAACTAACTTCTTTTGGATGCACAAATTAGGCTTCTTAATTAATATGGATCCCAACAGCCAGCCCCAGCAATATCTAGTGGTCGAACTCTTAAGGCAAAATTGAGATTCGTAGATATGCGGTAAATGACCCTGAAAGCATGATTAACGTCAATCTTGTGTTCTGTCTCCACAAGATGAGACTGAGGCTGTGGGGATCCATATTAACAAGCCTAATTTATGCATCCAAAAGAAGTTAGTTCAGACATTATCCTTACCTTGGCTATCTAGGTTTGAATGATCCTCAATTTTTGTGGAATTTTCCTAATTTTATTTGATATTCTATTTGCTAATATATCTTTATTATTATTGCTATGATTTAAGCATCTTTAATGAACTGTAATTCCATTGTGTTCTTCCTTAACAAATTGATATTATTTAAAAAGCACACCAAAATTGTTATTGACTACTATTCTAGAATATTCTATGTATATAAACATGCACATATATAATTGTTGAGCCAGAAGAGGAATTTATCGAAAAGAATATTCTTTGCTCGATTATTTTGTGTTTTATAAATGTCTGAACAATGATATATACAGTATAAAATAAACGTAAATATAAAACTTACAGCTTCAAATTCATTGACAGTCTTTTTCAGTTTATCCATTCGACCAACAGAGAATGATGAGATACTACTACTACTTGAATGAATACTCTGACGTCTTGTCATATTGACTGTTGATACTGACGGCGAGTGATGATGATCATGTGTTGTACTATGCGTATGACTATGCGTACTATGACAACCAATCACATCAATCGATAGAGTGGATGTAGCATCTTCATCAATTGACTTTGAACTACTCTTTAACCGTCTGTTTAAAAATAATCTTGGTGAAAGAATAAGTGAAGGTGAACGATGCAGTCCAGGAGCAGGAGAGAAGCGCAGTGAAGAATTACGTGTTGTCGTTCCTCCGGTTATCGAAGAGGATGAAGACGAGGGCAACGGGAGTTGTGATGGATCACCAAGTGTATTCAAACTTGGATAAACACTGAGTCCAGAGCCCATAAATGAATTTTGCAACTCTAAATGTGGCATTTCATCCTCTGGACGTATACGCATACGTACAGGCCATAGGTCAGGTGAACCATAGGATTTACCAACTCTAGTTGACAATGCTCGAATACACTGATTCATAGATAGTGGTGTCGAGGTTTCACCGCATAAACGTCGAAAATTGTCGAAATTTGTTAGAACCGATGATCTAAGCTCACAGGCTTGACGTAGCGTGCTTGTGGTAGCCTAAAAATAAATGAAATAATAGTGTAATCATGAATAGGGGAAATATTTTTGGTAATATATTTAATTGTTTTAGTGACATTAGTTAGAAAACCCCATATAAACCAACCACAGGGAGTACTGAACAGCTGTTTCGTCAGACTAGTTTGAGACTCATTGGCAGTACGCAGCCACCATCACAGGGTTCGAAACCAGTACCTTCTGGTAACAAGGAAAGCTATAGCTACAAACTCTCTCCTGAAAATAATTATGATGTTCATTAGTGACTGGCTAGCTACAGTACGAAGTTGTATACATTTCTAGTAAGAAGTTGTGGCCAGTTAGCTCCAAATGATCGGAAGTGAGGGCGAATACTCGCGGTGTATGATAGTGGCCGATGGTAGCGCTATAAAAGCATGACGAGTTGGTGGAAGTTAGAATTCATAGGCAGGCTAGTGAGTCGGGCCCCACTGACTGACTGGGTTGAATTTTAACCGGAATATTCCGGGTTCGAACCCTGGCAGTGTGTGCGTACTTCCAATGAGTCCCAAACTATGATGAAACAACTGGCTGTCGAGCACTCCTCGACCAAACTTGAAATGAATCAAATCCCTACTAACAAATTCTTACATTTACTAATTATTGATTAGTATAATTAATTGAATACTACTCACATCACAGTCATTAGTGACTGATAACCGGTTAGGTCAAAGCGATTTAAACACGTGGAGAGCTGTCTCACTCGCTCATGGCCAAGGTCATTAGGGGTGTGCGTTTTCAGTGTGGCTGAGTTTCCTCTAAAAACTAAAGTGAAATTTCATCTCCTCCAGCTAAGAAAGTTGCAGACTGCGAATTTCATTCAACGTATTACCGATTCTCCCAAGTACGCGGCCAGAATTCGATTTGATGGAACTTTTATTCAACTCTCTGATATGATTACAACCCATAACATCACTGATGAGATCAGCCTCAAACCAGTGAAATGGTCGTTCTATCTGACTAGTAATCACTAAATTGGTTGATATGAATGGTATTAATTCATTCATATTATTATTCCCTCGCGTTCCGAGTAGAACATACGGCTTCAAATACACATTTCCACTTTTTTCTGTATTTTGCCGTCCTCTTCAGATGGGTCCACGATTGACCTAAATCTCACATCTCTTCCTCACACGATCTCCTGCATGTCACCCTCAAACCAACGACCCACTGGTCACTTCCCATTTGAACTCCACTCAAGCACTGTCATGGCGTGCGATGTCATTTGGCGACCTTCTCAATGTACGTCCAATCCATCTCCACTTTCTCCCAAATATTTGTTGAGCGATCGGCTCTCACCTGATGGTTTATTCCCAGCCAGAGTTTCTTGTTGCTTATTCTTTCTGGCTGGTCATTCGATCTTCAGTATGCAGACAGCCAGAGAAGGGCGCAGCTGTTGAAGAATTTCTGCAACCCGTTGGAAATCCTTTACGTGACAAGCACGCAGCACAAGTTTCTGACCTGTATAGAAGAACCAACTTCACACTGGTGTTGAAAATGCGAATCTTGTTGCTTGTGCTGGCTGGTTGAGTGCAGAAGATTTCCAAACTGGTTTCAGGTTGATGAAGGCGTATCTTGCCTTTTCGATTTCTTCGTCCGTTCCACCTGTAGTTGAAACGATGAAGGAGGCAACCTCTGTTTTGTTGCTGTTGATTGGTTATCTTCATCAACTCCGTCTACTCTGTGTTCACCTACAGTCCTGTTTTAGCTGCCAGCTTCTTCAGCTAGTATGTTGGTTTCCGCTTGCAAGTCTTCAAGTTTGTGTGACATTAGACATATGTTATCTACAAAATCCAGAACTTCTAGAGTCTTCTTATCGGTAGTCCAACGTATTCCTGATTACCCGCCCCCCAACAGTCTACCACAATTAGGAATATCGTATGTGATAATAGGCGTCCAACCAGCCTTGTCTTACTCCTGTATGCAATTCGAACGCCTCGATGAGTTAGGAACCATTAATCTCAGAAACTCATATTTTTGGACCTTAATTTTCATTGGTGTGTTCAAGCACCTTAGAGTCTGAGGGTCAAATAGTTAGACTCACTAATCTGTTAAATTCCCTTTACAGGAGATCCCGACATGTAAGTCGAAGTACACTACCAGTTGGTTTAAATTAACAGCACATTCGTATACTTATTAATCGTACATAATATATAAGTGGAATTGTGGCTTATAATCTCAGCAATGAGATGTAGTAGCTTCAAATTCTTCTATCTGAATTCTAATCTAACATATTCCAGAAGGTGCACTGGTGGTTCAGAGGTAGGAAGCTCTCCAACCAGACCTCATGTGATCCACAGTGTTTGATAACCTAGCCGACACCCTCCTTAACCCCGCTAAGTCTGTAGGAAAGCCCGGTAAATAGACAAGGATGGGTGTGAAGCTAACAACTCACCACGTCGTAAAAAACTGGAGCCTGAAGCTCTATGTTCCACAGGGAACAGAAAGGCTGAAAACAGTCCAGTTTTAACAGACTGTCCAGCGAATATACTCCTCCCTCTGTGAGAAGAGGAACCAAATTTGGCATAGTTAATGTTTCTCCATACCATAAAGCACAAGTAAGCCATTTTGTTAAAATCCATTTAGTTATGAAGGATTTTTCAAGAAACCTCTCTCTCTCTCCCTCCCTATCTCTGCATCCATATCAAATCAGTTGACCAAATTAGGAGTTTTACAAAATGCCCAAAAGTTGTTCAATTTCTTTTCCCTATTTTACTTTCTACCCACAAAATTCGTATTTTGCCTCTATCACAGTGTATCTATCACACACAGTAACTGATGCACTTGTGAATTTGTATCACATTTTGTTATGATGTAATAACCACATGATTTGTGTTTTGTTTTTGTTTTGTTTTGCTTTTTTTTAATTTCATAATTCAGACTGATTATCTTATCTATTTAACTGATTTCGCACACAATTCTGCTTCTTTTGCACACTGACACACAAACACACACACGCACACACCCACACATAATTCATGTAATTGATTTACCAGGATTTCCCTTTTCCCTATTTTCTCCATTGAAATCACTTAGCAAACACAACCGTGATGGTTACAGGATTTCATCATCAGCTAACATTGGTTAGAGAACCATTGGAAACCACCAGGGAGTACTGGACAGCTGTTTCCTACGTCCTAGTTTGGGACTCTTCATCTGCACGCACCCACCGCCAGGGTTCGAACCCAGGACCTTCTGGTTACAAGGCGAGCTAGCTCGTAGACCAATAAGCCACTGGAAATCGATTCAATGGCCAGCCAGTCCATGAATTCTAACTTCTGCCAATTCACGACATAGCGCAACCGCTAGCAAATGTCTTCGGCGAGTATTTGTCCTCACACCCAACCTGCTGCACTTTACTGGTCACGACTTCCCACTGGAACCTCAGGTGACTACCTACCTGAATAGGACCAGTCGCCAATGAGCAGGTTTTTCAGGTTTTCCAATGGTTCTCTAACCAATGTTAGCTCATGATGAAATCCTGTAACCAATCTATCTACCAAATCCCTACAAACCAATACTTGAATAACAACCGTGATGACTATTCACTAGTCTTCATACTGTTTGCATGAAACTATGTACTAGTGACTGATCAGTGTGAATAGATTTAACAGAGGTTGCCTCCTTCACTTATCCACCCAGGAAGCATCGTTTCAACACTACAGGCAGTCGGAACGGACGTAGATGTCGAAGCCAGCCAGTCAGAATCGGAAAAGCAAGATACACCGCCAGCCAAGAACGTGTTTGTACAAAATTACTAAAAAAATTCAGATGGATTGGAGACACTCTGAGAGGACAATTGAGTAAGATCATTTCCATACAGTCTCTCAAGTGGGATATGAATAAGTAATGATGAGTTAGGCCTCTGACGTGAAAAACCTCGAGGACCTGGATTTCGCGGATGATTTATGTTTGATGTCATAAAAAATCGAAGACTTATAAGCGAAAACTGACAAACTGGCAGAAGAAGCAGAAAAGACAGGACTCCAGGTGAACATAGACAAGACGGAGGTTATGAAAATAAACAACCAACAACAACAACAGCAGCAGCGTCAGCAACATCCAGCGCTAATCACCATCAACGAGAGGGATTTGAAAGAGGTTACTTCATTCACTTATCTAAGAAGCACTGTCTCAACCACAGGAGGAACGGACGAGGATGTCAAATCGAGAATCAGGAAAGGCGATAAACACATTCATCAACCTGAAACCAATCTGGAAATCTTCGTCACTCAGCCTGCATCAACAACAAAATTCGGATTTTCAATACAAACGTCAAGTCAGTCAGTTCTTCTATACGGATCAGAAACTTGGCCAGTGTATCACAAAAAATATTTCCAACAGCCTGTTGCAGACTTTTATCAACAGCTGTCATCGTCGCTCTAAACTGAAGATCAGATGGCCGGCCGGAAAGAATCACCAACAAGAAACTATGGGAACAAGCAAAACAAGAACCAATCACTCAACAAATATGCAGGGGAAAGTTGAGATGCATTGGACACTCGCTGAGGAAACCGCTGGGTGACATCGCGCGTCAGGCCAGTGCTCGAATGGAACCGGAAAGGGAAGCAGTGAGTGGGACGTCCAAGGGTGACATGGAGGAGATCGTGTGAAGAGGAATTGAAACAGTATGGACTAACATGGATGCAGGTGAAAAGTGCAGCAGAAGATAGAAGCAAGTTGAGGCGTGCAGTTGAAGCCCTATGTTCCACTAGGAACCCAAGGGAACAATAATATTAATAATAATAGTTAGGCCTCTGAGGATGACATCGATGGGATCATGTAGGGGGGAAAATCAAAGGTCATATATAGTTGTGGAGCAATTTACAAAAGTTTCAGAGAACAGGGAGGAATGGAAATATGCTGTCGAAGTCCCATATTCCACTTAGAACCCAAGGTAGTAATAATAAATGACTTCTTAATATATGGGTAAAACTTGGGCACTGTGGTAGTAAGTAATTCCATATTAGTTAGTTTATTAGATGTATAACACAGTATTATTTACTGGATGACAAAGTTTCGAACAAAATTTATTTATTGTTCATAATCATATCAATTATAAAAACACGACTTCAAAACTTGAGTTTTATAGTTTTCTTTGTTCTCTCCCATTTGTCGTCGTTGGGGTAGTAGTAGAAATTTCCAGAGATCCAGCTGGACAGGTGTTGAATCAAATAAAGTATAAATATATTTCAATAGTTTATACACAATGATTAGGTTTCGTTATTGGTAATATTTCGAGCAAAATTACCAATAAAAAAAACTTATCATTGTGTGAAAACCATTGAAATATAATTGTACTTTATTTGATCTAATCCACAATGCTCAAACTTTTTACTGATAGGTGTTGAATCATTCCTATTACATGCCTTTGCAGCTGATTCAATAAACAAAGCTTCTGTTATCAATCTCTCTTTCCACCCTGTGATATTAGATTTTAACATTGTCATTTTATCCCATTCTATTGTATGGTTGTGTGTGATTGTGTGTAGTGCTATAGCTGAACTATTCTCTAGATTTCTTATCTTATTCGGGTCAATCAGTCTAGATTTTGCTAAGTTTTTATGCTCGGCTAGTCTGACTGCCCTTGTTCTACTACTTTGACCTATGTATTTGGCCTGACAGTCATTGCAGGCGGGGTTTAGGGAAACTAAATGGTTTTGTCTTATTGGCTCCACAGGATTGATCCTTTAATCGACAAAGCTTGTTTCTAATTGAGTTTGTGGATGATTGAATGCCAGCCACTTTTAATCCTGCCAGCATTGTTAGGAATTCTGCGTAAGGTATTTCCCGAGGTTCCTTCTTTTTATGGAATTACTACTGATGATTTAGATTCCTTATTGTCGGTGTTGTCATTATCTTGCACATGTTTGATATGCATGTCGTCATTAATATTACTTATCATTGTTATTATTATCACGACTATCACTACTATCACTATTTATTTTATCTTTGCATTTCCCTACATATTTCCTGACTAATTTATCGGGGTAATTATTAATTTTCAAGGCATCTCTTATATGTCTCACTTCCTGTTTTAGATTTTCCTTGTTACTACTTAGTTTTGCGCTCTGTTGCTAAAACATTTCACCGATCCTATTTTCACTGACATAGGATGGGATGATCGGAAGTCCAAATATCGGTTTGAATGTGTGGGTTTCCTGTAAACACACTAGTGTGTTTAACTTCCTATTTTCTTCCCTTTTTTACACTGCAATCTAACATTGGCAGTTCCCCTTCCTGACTTTCCAATTCACAAGGGAATTGAATTGCCTCCACCTCTGAGCTAATGTGTTCGAAAAGGAGATGGGGAGTTAAACACTAGTGTTTAAAGGAAACCCACACATTCAAAGAGATATTTGGACTTCCGATCATCCCATCCTGTGTCAGTGAAAATAGGATTGGTGAAATGTTTAAGTGACAGCACAAAAACTGAGTAGTACCAAGGAAAATCTAAGACAGGAAAAGCCTTGAAAATTAAGAAAGAAATAAGAAATCTAGAGAATAGTTCAGCTATAGCACTCACTGCATGCAATTACACACAACCATACAACAGGATGATATAGGATGAGAGTTTGAAAATCTAATGTCACAGGGTGGAGGGAGAGATTGATAACAGAAGCTTTGTTTATCAAATCAGCTACAAATACATGTAATAGGAATGATTCAGCACCTGTCCAGTCAGAGATATAGAAAATTTTACTACTCCAACGACGACAAATTGGAGAGAACAAAGAAAACTATCGAACTGAAGTTTCGAGGTCATGTGATTATCATTGATATGATTATGGAGAGTAATAAATTTTTTTCGAAACCTTGTCATCCAGTAAATAATACTGTTTCATTGACTGTGTGATACATCTAATGGACAAACTAATATGGAATAAATAACTTATCTACGGTAGATTTTTCAGGTAAACTGCACTTATTATGTAAAGGACGGTGGTGCTACATATAAATATGTGCTAATTGGTTAATCAAATTCCTTCTATATATCTAATAATAATAATAATAATGATAATATCTAATGTTTGAAGTGAGAAAAACTCTCCTCACCTTGAATATATCATCGAAAGTCGAGACACCGACTTTTTTCAGCTGCAATTGTTGACGATTACGTGAACGCCATCTATGCAATAGGCCGGTATGAGTTTCCTAGGAATTCAAATGATAAAAAAAGAATGAAATAGTAAATTATTGACAACATTTCATCTAAAAGAAAAGGTGTACAGCAAAGAGTTACTCCCCCTTTTCGGCGATATCATTCCCAAACTGTACAATCGCATATATATATTTAGTAAATTGTCTTACCAATAAAAGGAATATTTCCAAAAATGTGTCACTAGAATTGTAAATTTGTGTTTAGATAACAAATTTTGTTAATTGGTTTTGAAACTAAAATAAGATTAAATAAGCAAGTCGAGTGTCATAATCTAATTAACAGAGTTGAGTAGAGCTCAACCAAGATTAAAATTGAACGGAAGTCAAGTTAACAACGATGGTAAAATAAAGGGTGGGGGGAGAAAGAAAATATTATACATTTAGGAAACAAACAAGCAAGAAAAAGACGAAACAAAAATCACGTATTATGTGTTAAGATATGTCAGGTCCACTGTAGATTTAATGACTGAACAAACTTCTTCTTTTGTATGCAGATTTCAGGATTTAACAATGTGAATTGCCATTGCTTTTGCGGTTTTGAGGAAGTTTGATTCGTACTCGAGATTCCCTCGTATTCTGTGGGTTTGTTTGTTGTCCTGATTTGATCAGGTGTTCCAGGATAGAGCTGCAGGGGGGGACGTTTTTTCTCATTATAAAACCATGAGGGTAAGTGTTCGATGATGCCCAACAGTGGGTACGGCCGACATATCCAGCTCCACACGAGCAGATGAATTGGTAAATTCACATTGATGAGGCCCACAGTGATAACTTATTCTTCAGGTTTATGCAAATCACTGGTTTTGGTGGAGAAGGTTATTCAGAGTTCCACTGTGAAGAAGGTTTTCTTCAGTGAGCGGGGCAGGCAGTTTCTCATTATTTCAGCAGATAAGTCTCCAATGAATTGTAGATTCAGGCGAAGAAGTTTTTTGGAAGCAGAAAGTGTGCGCTGTTTTGGTGGTTTAGCTTTCATAGATGGTGTGATAAAACATTTCATTTAAAATAAGTCTTCTCTAATTTTGAAAGAAAAATAATTTTTGAAAAATAATCTTAATTTAAGCAGGCATAAGACTGAGAAACTTTTAACTCCTTTCATAATACCACTGACTCTAATTACGTGATTACTATTCTGCAAGTAGAATTTGAGTGATTTAAACAGTCTTTACCCATAAGTCAAATGGATCTGAATTCGATCCCTTTGAGCGCGGCGGCGTGGGGGTGGCGGGCACGGTATCATAGGTGCGCGGCACTGAAAAGCATCAAAGAAGAACGAAACAGATGTCCTATTTTGCAATATCATGGAATAAACATATTAGATCATCGAAAATATTGAAAAGGCGGTTACAGTGAAGGAAAGTAACTTTTCGATGATGTCATCATATAAGGAGGGGACATCTGAGACAGTCCCTACGTAGATTTCTTAATAAATCAGGAATTAGGGTGGCGTTCAAATCTACAAACTGACTCAGGTAGGATGAGCTCTGTAGGCTAAAAGACCCGGTGGACCCAATTAGACAAAATAATATAATTTACAAAATACCTTGCAATGACTGCGAGTTAGGTCAACTACATAGGTCGAACTAGTGGATCAGGAGTAGTGAAATTATCAAAAATAGAGACTTAACTAAGGTTAGAATAATTGATCCCACGAAGATAAGTAACTTAGAAAAGAGCTCAGCAGTCGTACTGTATGCATTAACACACAACCACACAATAGGGTAGGTGAGACAGAGTCAAAATTCTAAGAAGTAATATAGGTAGGTGGAGATAGAGAGAGATTGATTACTGAATCCTGGTTCATCGAGTCTACACCTAACAAATGCAACAGAAAAGACTCAATGCAAATACCAGTCAGCCAAATCAGAGGAGGATAAAAATAATCTTAAAATTCTATTTCAATTCATGTAGATCATAACATTCTAATAAGTTACTTATTTTGACTATAGAAACACTCGTCTTATTTCCCATCTGATTTTATTTGATCGATAAATTTCATATTATTATCTCTGAATGTACATTATCCTATATTGATTTTTATTCGAATGTCTAATCAATTTTAGTCATGTATATAAATGAAGGAAAAAGGTTGTGTGAGTGACTTGATATGATTATGAGCAATAGCTTGTACTCGAAATGCTGTCATCAGGTAATATTACTTTATAACACTGTGCTTTATCAAAATAAAATCTTATCCATAATGGAGTTATACTCACCCACGGTGCCCAAGTTTTATACTTATAGCAGGCTGAACATTCGTGTATTCATAGGATAAATGGGTGAGAATGTTCCACAACTATTTCTGGTCAGCTGTCAAATTATTGAGATTACAAATGGGAATTAAAACAGGAAGATCGGATAAAAAAACATAGTAGGATCATAATTATTGTGAAAACTGACTTTGTTTTGTGCAATTAGGGATTAAAAAGCGTAAAACTAACATATCATCAACTCATCTATAGCCAGCCACGTTTACTTACAAAGACTGGCACAGTGTTTCACTTAAGTATTAATTCAAAAGTATACTTTGTTCCGGGTGGAACAGAGGCCTTCAACAGCACATCGCCATTTCACTGCGTTCTTTACAGTCGGCTTTTGGCTGACCCCACAACTACCCATAGCCTCTCATCTCCTCCTCACACGATCTTCTCTGTGTCACTACCAGACTCCAAACTCGTCGTTTCGTTTTCGGATTCCATTTAAAGGATGTGTTTGGAGTCTGGTATCACTCAACAGTTTTCTTAGCGTGTGTCCACTCAATCTCTCAGAAATGTGATTGCAACCTTCTTTAAAACTGATGCAATTTTCTGCTGTTTAGACTAAATTATGAATTTTCAAGAATTGATTTTTAAGGATTAGATTTGTTTTACGAGTTTGACCACGGACTGATATCACTTATAGTGTGGTGAGAGCTGTCTACTAGCCAAATTGGTAGACGGTAATTTACGTCAATATTTACGTTCCCAAGATTTGTCGTGAGAAAATATGAACAAAGACTGATTCAAAACCGACCACAGCAGACTTTGCGTAGGCGGATACAGTTAACATATAGATGATTTGACATTCAAGAAACAGTCACAAAGAGATGAAAGATTAACTTTAAGTGAGAAACAACCAATCAGAAAACTGTGTTTGTTTGCTTAACTAATCTATAATAATGTACATGAAAATATATACATATGCTTTGATTTCCTTAATAAACGATCTGTCGCCTGACCCTTGTCTTCTGTTGTTACAATAGAACCACTGAAATCCAGCAGGGGATACTGGAGAGCTATCGCTCTAAAATCGCGAATTGGTAGAAATTAGAATTCATGCGCTGGCCATTGAATCGGGTCCCAGTGGCTTAATGGTCTACGAGCTTCCTCACCTTGTAACTAGAAAGAAGGTCCTGGGTTGGAATCCTCTGTGGTGAGTGCGTACCGCTCAAGGGTCCAAAACTGGGATGAATCAGCTGTCTAGTACCCTGAGGTCTTCCAATGGTTCTCTAACTGATGTCAGCTCATGATGAAACCCTCCAACCAATCAGACTGTTGATTTATTTGCCTTTCTGAATAAATACTTAAGATCTTAAAAAGAACCCAAAATAACTGTATTAATTTCTTTATAAGAATTTAAAATTTCCTGATAATATTACTAATCATGATATTTTTCTACAGTTTTCACATACATACATAAACAAACAAGCACATCAAAACATGTGGGATAGTCGGCATCTAAATTCAACACAAGTGCATGTATTAACCGATTTGATGCACTTTAGAATTGTACAAAAAGTGTGTAAGATGCAGCAGAAATTCAGTGGTACAGAATATAAAAAATAAGTATGATAGGAAATAAAGAGATTAGTAAGAATGTTAGAAAATGTGGAAGGAGTGAATCATATCTGATAATTTTTAAGTTTATTGGGTAGGGGTTAGTCAGTAAGCAACCATTATGAATGATTTTTAGTGTAGCTTAATAGTTTTAATTAGCGCACAAATTTTTTTCAGCGCTTTTATCTCAGGCAATTGTATGCATTATCGTGAGCATCATTGAATGAAAATGCTATTTCGGTCACCGGCAACTCGTCAAGAAATACTGCTAACAGCTACAGAACTGGTTACAGGATTTCATAATGAGCTGAAATCGGTTAGAGAAACATTGGAAAACCACCAGCGAGTACTGGGCAGCCAGCTGTTTCGTCCTAGCTTGGAACTCTTTAGTGAGGGTTCGAACCCAGCACCTTTGGGTTACAAGGCGAGGCGGTAGACCACTGGGACCCGATCCAATGGCCAACCCATGAATTCTAACTTTTGCTATTTCACGAAATAGTGCTACCACTAGCCAGTGTCATTGGTGAAGAGTATTTACCTTCACTTCCCTCCAGCCTGTGGACATGGGAGCAATGGTACCAGACAAAATTCCTCCATGAACACTGAAAACTTTTCGGGAGGGTGGTGACAGTTATGTTAACCCCACTAATACAGAAAACTTGGAGGGAACAAAATGTACCTCAGGTAAAAAGAAGGGTGACTTAAGCGTTTGCTGGAATTGGAGCAGAATCATGATCTCGTCCACTCCAAGCAAAATGCTAAGTTACATCACCCCGGGAAGAAAAAAGGATGCTGTAGATTCGAAACAGCAACAACATCCAGCACCAATCACCATCAACGGGAGGGATTTGAAAGAGGTTGCTTCATTCACTCACTTATCTAGGGAGCATTGTCTCAACTACAGGAGGAACGGATGAGGATGTCAAATCGAGAATCGGGAAGGCGAGAAACACATTCATCAACCTGAAACCAATCTGGAAATCTTCCACTGTCACTCAGCATCAATAACAAAATTCGGATTTTCAATAAAAATGTCTAGTCAGTTGTTCTTCTATACGGATCAGAAACTTGATGGCGAGTCACAAAGAATATTTCCAACAGGTTGCACAGAGCTTTATCAACAACTGTCTTCGTCGCTCTATACTGAAGATCATATGGCCGGAAAGAATCACCGACAAGAAACTA